AGTCAGTGTTTGGTACAGTGGGCGAGTGGGTGAGCAGACTCATATCCTTTTCTCACACCACCAAGTCAAGCCACACATATCTGACTGCACATTCACCAGGCCAGTGAGAAATACCGGAGGACTCACACATACACACTGACAGAGATCAAACATAGGCCTATCAAAGGACTCACCTCGCGCAGAAAACACGGCTGCCAGCACTCATGGCTGAATCCAATAAATAACTCGCAGCCACAAAAACATTACTCATCAAGAAAACAAAAAGTGTCCCCCATAAACACACAGTTCTGGTCTAAATTATGACTGCGGCTTTGGCTCCTCCCACTGTGGTCAGTGTGTTTGTAATGACCGTAAGGCAGAGCGGTCAGAAGCGTGATTGACTGGCATTCTTGCTTAGGAATGGTGGTATGACCAAATCCCTGGTATGAGTAGTTATACGTATATGACAATATGTCATGATACAGCTACTGTTTTGCTGAATATTCAGTGAAAAAAGGCTTAAAAACAAATAAAAAGAAGGTGACCATCAGCTACTAAATTAAATACTTTACAACTGAAGTCTTTACAACCTGATTGGACGTAAACCAACAGATCAGATTATTCAAAAGAAGTGAATCATATGTCTGACATTAGTGTCAAATATTAATTCAATGTTATTATTACAAATATTATTCAATACTATCAAATGCATAGTTCAGGAGGAGCCATATTCAAAGACACTGTAAAACAGCCAGTCAAAAGACCACACATTAGTTGAATTTTATCCATTAATGAAGTCCGACACTGTTCACACTGAAAACTTGAGATTAAAAATCTTAATGTAAACATGAAAGTAAACATTTAAATGTATCAATAAAATACATAGGTGTATCTATGTTGAAATTTTTGGGGGGAAAAAATGAGAAGACAAAATGTACGGAAATATTTAAGATTCTGCATTATTTCTACATCACTAACCAAATAAGTACAACCCCAGTTCCAGAAAAGTTGGAACGTTTTGTAAAATGTATTAAAATCGAGAATATGTGATTTGTTTATTCTCTATAACTTTTATTTAATTGACAAAAGTACAAAGAAAAGATTGCCAAAGTTTTCACTGACCAACTTAAATGTACTGTATTTTGTAAATAAAAACACATTTTGATTTTGTTGGCTGCAACACACTCCAAAAAAGTTGGGACAGAGGCAAAATAAAAGTGAAAAGGTTATAGAATATCCTAACTAAACTGTTTTGAAACCGTTCACAGTAAGCAGGTGAATGGGTAATAGGTGAGGGTATCATGTTTGGTTATAAAAGGAGCATCTCGATCTTTGCAAGCAAAGCTGGATCATGGCTCATCACTTTGTGCCAAATTTCATGAGAGAAGGGTCAAACAAGTCAAAACTCTAATTTCTCAATGAAAAATCGCAAAGAATTGAGGTCTTTCACCAACTACCATACATAATACTGTGAAAAGTTTCAGGGAATCCAGAGAAATCTCAGTCTGTGTAGGGCAAGGCAGGAAACCTCAGTTGAATGCGCTTGACCTTTGAGCCTTCAGATGGCATTGCATAAGAAACCGTCATGCTGCGATGTTAAATATAACCACATGGGCTCAGGAGTACTTCGGAAAACCGCTGCCACTTAACACAGCCTGCTGCTGCATCAAGAAATGCAACTTGAATCTCTGTTACTCTAGGAGAAAGCCATACATCAATTTTATGCAGTGATGGGCCAGAGCTCATCTCAGATAGTCAAAAAGACAGTGAAAATGTGTGCTGTGGTCAGATGAGTCCACATTTCAACCTGTTTCTGGGTAAAAAGGACGTTGAGTTCTCAGTCCCAAAGACCAAAGGGACCTTCCAGACTTTCATCAGCGACGGATGCAAAAGCAAACGTCTGTCATGGTATGGGGGTGCATCAGTGCAAACGGCATGGGTGACTGGCATATGTGCGAAGGTACTATTGACATGGAGGCATATATTGGGATTGTACAGAGACATATACTGCCATCAAGATGACATCTTTCATGGGAAGTCCATGGTTATTAGATCAAGACAATACCGGGTCTCATTCTGCATGTGCTACAACAGCGTGGTTCGGTAGACACATGTGGATGTGACTGGATGTGAGCAGATCTGTCTCCTATTGAAAATATATGGCCCATCATGAAAAGGAGAATCAGACAACAATGACTATGGACTGTTGTGCAGCTGAAGTCTTGTATCAAGCGAGACTGGGCAAAAATTTTTCTTGCAAAACTTTGAAAATTAGCATCCATAATTCCCAGATGATTCAAATGTGTAATTAAAAGGAAAGGTGAATTCACACAGTGTTAAACATGCCTCTGTCCCAACTTTTTTGGAGTGTGTTGTAGCCATCAAAATGCATTTATATTTACAAAATAAAATTAAGTTGGCCAATGAAAATCTTTGCACTTTAGTCAATTAAAAAAATGTGAAAAATAACTCTTGATTTTATGGCATTTCACAAAACGTTCCAGCTTTTCTGGAACTGGGGTTGTACATTAGTGACATTGATCATGTGAACATCTTTGCAGCTGTGCTATTTTAGTACTTATTTAGTACTAATTTAGTATAGTAGTCTATTGCCACAATCATAAAAATTTTTTATGGAAATAGGAAGTGCTGCTTAAGATTTCATGAGAGAAGGGTCAAACAAGTCAAAACTCTAATTTCTCAATGAAAAATCGCAAAGAATTGAGGTCTTTCACCAACTACCATACATAATACTGTGAAAAGTTTCAGGGAATCCAGAGAAATCTCAGTCTGTGTAGGGCAAGGCAGGAAACCTCAGTTGAATGCGCTTGACCTTTGAGCCTTCAGATGGCATTGCATAAGAAACCGTCATGCTGCGATGTTAAATATAACCACATGGGCTCAGGAGTACTTCGGAAAACCGCTGCCACTTAACACAGCCTGCTGCTGCATCAAGAAATGCAACTTGAATCTCTGTTACTCTAGGAGAAAGCCATACATCAATTTTATGCAGTGATGGGCCAGAGCTCATCTCAGATAGTCAAAAAGACAGTGAAAATGTGTGCCGTGGTCAGATGAGTCCACATTTCAACCTGTTTCTGGGTAAAAAGGACGTTGAGTTCTCAGTCCCAAAGACCAAAGGGACCTTCCAGACTTTCATCAGCGACGGATGCAAAAGCAAACGTCTGTCATGGTATGGGGGTGCATCAGTGCAAACGGCATGGGTGACTGGCATATGTGCGAAGGTACTATTGACATGGAGGCATATATTGGGATTGTACAGAGACATATACTGCCATCAAGATGACATCTTTCATGGGAAGTCCATGGTTATTAGATCAAGACAATACCGGGTCTCATTCTGCATGTGCTACAACAGCGTGGTTCGGTAGACACATGTGGATGTGACTGGATGTGAGCAGATCTGTCTCCTATTGAAAATATATGGCCCATCATGAAAAGGAGAATCAGACAACAATGACTATGGACTGTTGTGCAGCTGAAGTCTTGTATCAAGCGAGACTGGGCAAAAATTTTTCTTGCAAAACTTTGAAAATTAGCATCCATAATTCCCAGATGATTCAAATGTGTAATTAAAAGGAAAGGTGAATTCACACAGTGTTAAACATGCCTCTGTCCCAACTTTTTTGGAGTGTGTTGTAGCCATCAAAATGCATTTATATTTACAAAATAAAATTAAGTTGGCCAATGAAAATCTTTGCACTTTAGTCAATTAAAAAAATGTGAAGGACAAAGATAAAAAATAACTCTTGATTTTATGGCATTTCACAAAACGTTCCAGCTTTTCTGGAACTGGGGTTGTACATTAGTGACATTGATCATGTGAACATCTTTGCAGCTGTGCTATTTTAGTACTTATTTAGTACTAATTTAGTATAGTAGTCTATTGCCACAATCATAAAAATTTTTTATGGAAATAGGAAGTGCTGCTTAAGCTGCAACTAGCTTAATGTTTATTTTTTAATATTTCATTTTATGAAATATTGACATTTATTTCAGGTATTCACTCAAATTGTTAAACTGATAATATATTTTGTAATTTAAAAATAATAATAATTTAATTAGAAAAATATAAAATTCTTCAAAAGTGGACCCCACTGTACATCCACTGTATAAACGCTTTAGTTTTACCTCATATTGCCCAGTTCTACCATTGGAAATGTCTTTCTTTGCACTTTAGTCAATTAAAAAAATGTGAAAAATAACTCTTGATTTTATGGCATTTCACAAAACGTTCCAGCTTTTCTGGAACTGGGGTTGTACATTAGTGACATTGATCATGTGAACATCTTTGCAGCTGTGCTATTTTAGTACTTATTTAGTACTAATTTAGTATAGTAGTCTATTGCCACAATCATAAAAAAAATTAAATGGAAATAGGAAGTGCTGCTTAAGCTGCAACTAGCTTAATGTTTATTTTTTAATATTTCATTTTATGAAATATTGACATTTATTTCAGGTATTCACTCAAATTGTTAAACTGATAATATATTTTGTAATTTAAAAATAATAATAATTTAATTAGAAAAATATAAAATTCTTCAAAAGTGGACCCCACTGTACATCCACTGTATAAACGCTTTAGTTTTACCTCATATTGCCCAGTTCTAATCCCACTCATCGCTAAAAAAGCAGGAAATTCTAAAACACACACACCTATGGCGGGAAAAGAAATAAAACATGATCCAGTCAATAGACAGTTCAGTGTGAGGCAACGCTACAACTGAGCTGTCACTGCAAAAACCACAGCCTAATTATACACTGTGTGTGTATGCATGTGTGTGGTGACCCTCAGCTCTGAGTCAAACAGTGATCCAGTCTCTCTTCATGTCTAGCTTTCACAGTTCTCTCTCCCGTAACAAACCCTAGAAGCAGCAAAGGGGCCTGGCTTCAGTACATACATGTGACTGAATCACGGTGTCACATGCATGCTAGTTCTGACGGAGCTTGTTTACACTGGGTAAATTTAGCAGGACACTGAATGTAAAAATGTTTCGCACCTGTGTGAAGACGTTCTCCCTGTACCTGTGCACCTCAAACGGCTCCGTATGTAGTCTGGCTGTGAGGGCAGAGTTTTAGATGAGTGTCTGCAAGCTAAAAACAGACATAAGAGAGAATGCTAGATGCGACTGTTACCTCTACTTAGGACAGCTCTGTTCTCCTGATAGTCCTGTATCTCTGCGTCCTTCCGAGCCAGAAGAGCAGCTAGATCCTCCACTTGCTGCTGTAGGACTCTACTCACTGCCAGCAGGGGGCGCACCAGGTGTCTGCACACCTGATTCACAAGCAGAAACGTACTGTATATTTGATACATTGATTTTTAAGGCCTCGAGCCTACAAATCTACTTTATGCCTTCTGCCTTTTGGTTGTTAGTTTGTACTTTTTTTTCAACAAGTAAAAAGCATTTTATTATAATTCTAAAAATGTCCACCTTCAAGATGTGTCTTTTTGATGAAAAATATTTAATGATTTTCATTAAGTAAATGTAGAATAACTTTTAGATTGTTAGTAATATTTTAAGATGAACACTTGCTGGACTGAAGCTACTTGGGTGACTAATTTTTTTTATTTGTGAAAATCTTGTTAAAATCTGAGAATCAAAAATGATACATCAGGCTTTTGTGGAACACTTATTATATCCTCCCATCATTGTACTGCATTGCACTATATGTTTTGACCTCGCAATAAAACCTACAGAGCTCTGATAAAACTAAGCATTTAAATATAATCTTACTAAAACATATTTTTGGTAGATATAGAGTGACAACTGATATTTACATGCATTTTATGTATGTATTCTATTGTACTTTTATAAAAGATCTCACTGATTTTCATTACAAGGTAGCAGAATTTCATCTTTTGGCAATATAAATATTAGCAAACTGCGCCAAATTGATTATTTTTGTTATTTTTTTTCTCCTGTATCATACTATATGAGCCATAAAAGTCTTATGTATCAAATATGATACTCAATGAAAACACATCAGCAAACTTTATATCCATCAATCCATTTGTTTAAAAAAAACTGCTTCATTTCAAAACAATTACAGTTTTCTGACTATTATTTCATATGTCAGGCTTCACAGGGTTAAAAGAATAGATTAAATGTTTCAAACACATTTGAAACCATGTTACATCACAGCGGCAGACATTATTTTTATCAGATAAGGTTCATACCACGCCAACAGGTGTTGTGGTGCAGCGAAACTCCCAGTAGAATGGCAACCCAGCCAGCTCACTTTTGAGCTTGACTGTTAGATTGCCACCATGCTGTTCAAGAGTAACGTGTGCAGTAGAAATCTGATCATCATCTTCACTGGAGAAACAAGGCCGTGCCACAGAACATAGATGAGAGAACGCTTGTGTAGGAGACCTCAGACGCTTATTCAGATCCTTTCTTACAGAGGAAGAGAGGAAAAAGAGATGAAATCAGTATGAAATATTGACAGGCTAAGAATTCCCTTAGAACTGAATATTGTGGTGATACAATCATATATACTATAGTACTGAGAAACATTTCATTCTTATCGGCTTTGCACATTTCAGTGATTTTAGTTGAACGGAAATACATTGTCTTGAGTGTGTTTTGTCTCCTCAGTGTTTCATGTTATAGAATATAAGGAATTTATAAGATCTAATAAAGCTCCAATTTAAGTATTTAATTAAAATCACTTCAACTAGATAGCAGCAGTGTTGTACGTTCTTGCCTGTGCTCGACTCTGGATGTCACCTGCGGTCATTTCTTCGTCCCACACAGTGTTCAGGTCACTCAGCAGAACCCGGTACTGTGTGTCACCGAACCAGGCTTTGGCCAGTAGATCAGAACCACCAATATTCACTGGCACCCATGGGAGAGCAAACATAGATGAGAGAACGCTTGTGTAGGAGCCCTCAGACGCTTATTCAGATCCTTTCTTACAGAGGAAGAGAGGAAAAAGAGATGAAATCAGTATGAAATATTGACAGGCTAAGAATTCCCTTAGAACTGAATATTGTGGTGATACAATCCTATATACACTATAGTACTGAGAAACATTTCATTCTTATCGGCTTTGCACATTTCAGTGATTTTAGTTGAACGGAAATACATTGTCTTGAGTGTGTTTTGTCTCCTCAGTGTTTCATGTTATAGAATATAAGGAATTTATAAGATCTAATAAAGCTCCAATTTAAGTATTTAATTAAAATCACTTCAACTAGATAGCAGCAGTGTTGTACGTTCTTGCCTGTGCTCGACTCTGGATGTCACCTGCGGTCATTTCTTCGTCCCACACAGTGTTCAGGTCACTCAGCAGAACCCGGTACTGTGTGTCACCGAACCAGGCTTTGGCCAGTAGATCAGAACCACCAATATTCACTGGCACCCATGGGAGAGCAAACAGGCCTGTTTCCATTTCCCCACAGCACACTTTACACAATCTACTTCAAATAAACAATAACATGTTTATGCACAGCCACAAGTTAATACATGAGTGGTTTCTCATTACTACTCTTATATCAATGTATGTTTCCTAAAAACAAATGATGAAAAGATGAAATATATTACTTTCAACATTTTGAAATGAGATCAACCTGAATTCTCGGTTACAAAACACTTCACCTGAAACACTTTACCACAGTTACTATAGTATAATCACGGTACAATTTCTAAGGTTTCTGCAATTCCTAATAAGTTCAATATAATATATAATTCTTGCATTCGCGTCAGAATGTCTGACGAGCCTTGCGCAAACTTAGACAAACCATGATTATGAAACTATTTCGTTTCTATTATTTAACGTGTAACAGTTAATAGTTCCGTTACTAGACGCCTTCGGTATTAAGGAGGTTATAAGTAAAACAAAACAAAATATTTATTATCCAGCGTCTTTATTGAGACATTCTTAAGCAAAACATTCACAAGCCTCTGAAAGGGCTGTAATATTGTGTAAGAGACCAAGAACTGCTCTAAACACCACATCTTTTTATAATCATCTGTCTTCTGATTCTTTCTGTTGGAGAATGTGGCAGGTTTCTTTTTAAGTTGACGTTTCTTTCTGTGAAAGTGGAGTCATAGGTTAAAAGGGTAGTGATTACATATTAAAAAACTTTCATTTGTGTGTTTACAGGGTTACATACCACTGGACTGAACTTGCTGATGTGTTTGGTTGCTTTTCTGATTCCAAGTTGTTTGTTGTCCAGGGGGATTCAGGCTCCTGTCTCATAACCAGTTTCTCCAGAAACTGAACAACATCTTGCTTCGTCTCACATTTGTCTAGAGTTTTATAAAGCTTGTGCAACCTGGGGGCACCACAAAAGGGGGATCTGAAGAGTCACTGCACAGCTCTTTTTAATACATTGTGAATAGTGTAAAATGACTGTCAAACAAAAATGTAATAAAAAGAAAATGGTCATATGACTATCTATGCACAGTATTCTGATGCATATATACATAATGAATTTTGTTGGCAAAACAGCAAAAACACATGATATTGACAATGCTGTGTCTTAACATTTATGCCACGTATATGATCTTGTTTATTTAACTTTTGTATAAAATAAGGGACATTTTTACCCCCACATCTTAAAATACAAATTAAATGTGTGAAGATTTTTCAGAAATTAATGGGGGAAATATTAGAAAGATTCTTTAAGTGAATCATTATAAATTGTTACACACACACACATACACACAAACACAAAAAACCTCTGCACATTTTTTTATTTTATTATTTATTTATAGCAGCTCTGGAGAAAACAGTGATGGCATCATCAGCTCACTTCAGTCCTTATCCAATATATTGCCTTATATTAAGTGTCCCCAACTAAGCAAGCCAAAAGGCGACAGTGGCAAGGAACCCAAACTCCATCAGTAAGAGAAATGGAGAAAAAAACCTTGGGAGAAACCAGGCTCAGTCGGGGAGGCCAGTTCTCCTCTGGCCAGATGGGCCAACATGGTGTGGCTTAATTCCAGGCTGCATCACAAGTCAGAAATTTGGATTGATATCATTCAGAATTTTTATTATTTTTTTTTTTTTGCACTAGGGATAGGATAGGCTTACATTTTTTCATTTTTGCACTAGGGATAGGATAGGCTTACATTTTTTCATTTTAATTTAATTTAAATGTATTATTTTATTTTATTTATTTGCACTCGGCATAGGATATGCTTAGGACCTTTTTTGCACTAGAGATAGGATTAGAATTTTATTTCAATTTTTTTTTTTTTAATAGGCTTAGTTTTTTTTTTCTTCTCTAGGGTTCTATTTCCTTTTTTTCTGCACTATGGGAGAAAGTAACCTTCAGTGGCCGGTTACCAACAATATAGCCATTCATTAATGATGCAGCTATAATGGCATCATTAATCGAGGAATATGAAACAAATCCATAACCCATGCTCTGGCTGTTGTTCATAATAACCTTTGCACTGGTCACATATCCAAACGCAGAAAACAGGGAGCACAGCTCCTCACTGCCCAAGCTGTATGGCAGGTTTGATATATAAAGACTGTTGTCTTTCTTTTTGCAGCATTTGGAATTGGCATTTTGGTTTGCCTGACGTTCCTCGTAGGGCTTGTAATGGCATATAGAAACTAGATGGTCATTTAGCAGCATACCATCTAGCTTCTTAATTGCCAATTCAGCAGCCTCTGGTGTGGCATAATGGACAAAACCATAGCCTTTAGGTTGATCATTACTGTCGCAGACCACTCGGCTGGAAAGAACTTTCCCAAAGCATGAGAAAGTGTCATATAGAGCAAGGTCATCGATGTCTCTTGCTAAGCCCTTAATAATTATATTTCCAATTCCACTTTTTCTCAAAGTGGAATCGTGTTGAGCCCACATGATTCGCATGGGTTTGCCCAAGAGTTCAGAAAAAATCAAAGTATCTAGGGCATTTTCTGCATTGAGACGGTGTGCAAAAGTAACAAAGCCAAACCCACGAGAGAGGTTGGTTGCTCTGTCTCTGCACACTTTCACAAAACAGACTGGTCCAAACGGGAGGAAGATTGAAAGCAGCACCTGTTCGGTTACATGTGGGTGCAAATTACCCACAAACAAAGGGCCCGACTGGTCTCTTTCACCTTTAACCTCACCTAAACCATAGCACGTGGTCATTTTGACTGTCTCTGAAAGAAGATTTTTGTCAGAAAGCTCTTGGTCCAAAGCAAACCGCTGTGTGGAACTCACAATGGCTGAGTACAAATCACAAATGCTAAGTAAAAATCACTGTCGCAACTGTTGTATCTGCAAGGGAATGCCTTAGTCAGATGCATCAGTCAGAAATGATTTAGAATCTGACAGCTTTGCTCCTTTTATAGGCGGAACATTCTAAAATTCCAAATTATGACATCATCATGTGACATCCTCTTAGCTACATTCCTGAACAGTAAAACACAATTAAAGCTATTTTGGTCTGATTTTAGACATTAATATTAAGTCATAAGCATTAATTATAGCAAAATAAATCAAACTAATGCCCTACATGTATGAGATCAAATGAGTACATTAAAGCTATGGTATTTAAAGGCAACAACAGAGTTTAATAAAAGTTCAGTCAGTATGAACCAGTATTAGCTTTTATTTTTAAGTTTTCATTTTACTTTAAGGTTTTAATTTTTAGTGATTTTGTTATGTGCTTCTGTCATTTTTATTATTTTTCAAATATTCTTATTTAACTTTATTTTTATTTCAGTTTTAGTCATTTTTATTATTTAACTCATTATTATTTATAATTTTTGTTTACATTTTTTAAGTTTTCATGAAATATTTATATTTTATTTATTTATTATTTCATTTTTATTTCAATCATCAAATTCTTTTTTAATATGTTCTCTTTTAATTTTAGGTAAATTTATTTACATAATCAGTTTATTATGTAATTCAAGTTTCAAGAAATTTTTTTTTTGTGCTTTTGCAATTTTTTATTATTTTTAATATTTCTATTTAGCTTTAATTGTAATTCTATTTAATAATGTTGTGTTTTTAGAGTTTTCATCAAATGTTTACATTTTATTGTATTTCAGCTTTATTTCATTTACAAAAAAAATTAAAAATGTATAACAAACACTCTCTTTCAGCACCAACATAATCACATTACACTGACACTGACCATGAGTAAACGGCATGAGAGCAGTATTTATCAAAAGGATAAAACATTAATTCATATTTTAAGAATTATTTGATTATTTAAACGTTTGATTTTTATTTTCAGACAGATTTGGAAAATGCCTTCTTTTGTCATCATTATTTCATTGTGTTGACAGTTAAAAAAAAAAACTATTAGGTGTCACTATAACATGAGGTTCAGTAAATAATTACAGAATAAGTATTTCTGGGTGAACTATTTCTTTACCGAGGTTACTATTAACACAGTGTAGCCTATGACATTAGAAAAATGTACACTGAATTAAACATTAAAATATAGTTCTCACCTGCCTCTCTTCTCTATTTGGTTCATAAGATCGGTGGGATCTCTGCCTCCTTCGCTGTCTCTTTGAATCAAATGAGAAATAATGTCTGACTGAGTGGTTTTTTCATTACTGAAAGAGAAGAAAAAAGAAGCATGTTTAGTGGCTCACATGAAAAATCAGTCATTTGACAATGCTTATTTTAGGAGGCAATCTCACTAGTCAGGATCTTGGAGGTAGTCGGGTGAAGGACAGCGGGGAAAAAGTGATTTTTCCACTTGTTCCTCCACAGTCCTTTCAGGATGCTTCACCTAAAGAAAAGCCACAACACCATTATGATCAGTTTATCATTCTAAAATGCTTATGCCTAACTGATCATAAAGAGCTTATACATAGAACATTACAGCATTCTTAAGTAATATTACTGACCTGATGAGAGTGTCCATAACCAAATGACCCATATGTTATGGCCATCTCAACATCTAACTTGCAAACAACCTACAATCAAACAGAAAATCATATTTTCTCTCTCACACGTGAACCCAACAAGGCACTTTCCTAGATTTGACTGTAGTTTTTAAAATCATTAGATATCAGGCTTTTGTAGTGAGAACTCTTTGATATGTTAGATAAACTATTATGAGCCATAAAATGTACATAGCACAAAAGGTGGGCAGTTAGTTATACATTATCTTAGGATAAATCTGCAAACCTGTTACCAATTATGTACCAATTATATAGTTCTGAATTATACTTCTCATACATTTACTTTTATTTTGTTTCGTTCAATGTTTAATTGTTAGGAATTACACTTAATATTGCTAAGCCTAAAAAATACATTTAAAAAGGATATACTGTATAGTCAATACTTAATTTGATATTCTTAGATTGATCATTTACATTTTCTGAAGGTTTAGCACTTCCTATCAAAGACTAAAAATGATGACGTTAAAAAAAGAAACAAGTCATTATGGTGCATTTAGAACATAGACAGAGTGAACTTAAATTTCATGCCAAATGTAAGTGTTGTTTTTAACACACACACACGCATGCGCACACACACACACACACAGGTTTGTTTTTGTGAATTGTGGGGACTCTCCATAGGTGTAATGGTTTTTATACTGTACAAACCGTATTTTCTATCGCCCTACACCAACCCTACCCCTAAACCTACCCCTCACAGGAAACTTTCTGCATTTTTAGATTTTCAAAAAAACTTATTCTGAATGATTTATAAGCCCTTTGAAATATGGGGACACTCAAAATGTCCTCATAAATCACCTTCTTGTTGTAATACCTATGTCATACCCATGTCATTATACAAATTTGTGTCCTCATAAATCACAAAAACATGCGCGCACACACACACACACACACACACACACACACACGCACAAACAACAGTAAGCCTGGTGGTTACCTGCTTATTGAGCATCACATTAAACTGGTGAGTGACAATGGATTCCTGGATAAAGATAATCTCATCATTATTTGTCAGTCATCAAAAGGTTTGAGAATTTGTACAAAAAAACAAAGTCATACATTGAGAACTTTCAACACATTGAAGAAAGCACTGCCCATTGGTTTAGGATCTCTTGCTGCTGGCTCAAAGAAAAGAAGCTCCACCATGATTTGATTGGGATTCACTGCACTGGAATTCTGCTCAGGTATCTGAATAAATAAAAAAAAAAGATTCAAAAACAGGCATAAAGCTGGGTGAAAATACATAAGCACATCATGCAAACACAATTTTTGAGAACTTAAAAAAGGCTGGATATACATTTTATCAGTGTTTTGGATGAAACTGTTGTTCACGAATAAAACTTGATATTAAAACAGCATATAATATTAACATAACTGTGTGATACAGATCTTCTAATATCAGATCAGAACACATAAATTCAGCGAACACATCAGAAACTGTGCACTCCATGGAGATGCGGAACAATTCAGGGAAGTGTCAAACCTGGATGGAGAAGTATTTCCACTCATCGAAGCAAAGTGAGAAATCTGCTTTGCCTCCTCTGGCATCTTTGTTGCTTTGAAGCTTGGTGCACTTTTCCTTTCCACCAACAGATATCCTGAGAAAAAACTGAAAGTCTTTTGTGTAGAATGGATTAGTGGTCAAGGAAAACGATGACAAAAAAATATATAAGTTCAGTGCAAAATGATTTAAACTGCAAACTTTTTTAAAATGTTATTTTGAGATGCTGGAAATTATACGGATACAGATGTTTGGAAACACTTTGCAATCCTTTATATGTACAGTCAGAACTCCTGTCTGAAAGCAAAAGCATTGTAGGCACATATTGTACATCACTTTAGGAAAGGGCTTTGATTTTACTGCTGGTATACTTGTAGAACACTCTCTCTATATTTATAACATATAACTATATATACATTTGCACATAACCAAAGTTGCTTCAAAATGAATGTACTATAGAGGTCTTGGTGTACTTCAGTTAATTTATATATGCATGTGCCAAATACATGTACTGTATGTATGCATGTACACTGCTAAACATTTGGACATTCCTCGTTATTACCATTTACATATTGTATAATAGCATAATTGTAATCAAAACTACAGTATGGAGTTTATAGGGGGGACAAATAAAATCAATCAGTCAATATATCTGTCTGTCTGTCTATCTATAAATACTGACTGGCACTTCACGAGGCACCAGCATATCCAGATTGTCCTCAGTCTCCTCTGTCGTCTCTTCATTCTCATTCTTTGAGTCCACGCTGTAAGTCTATGGAAACAAGTGTGGCGAAGAAAAAAACTCTTAAATTATAACAAACAAAGCTGACACACAGGCAGAATAAATCTATTAGAAGTAACTCTAATATGATCATTTGTATTTCCTGATTAAAAATATCAGACACAACTAGCAAACAACAATAGGTCCTGAAACATAATAAAAGCTGTTTTACTACAGAACTGAATTATTTCAAAATTCTGACCTTGTATGATTTTAATGGATAAGTGCACAGCAGTTGAGTAGGACAAGACTTTTAAAATGAGACAGACAAAATCTAAATGTATTATGTTTAAAACTAGTAACTATTCAGTCTAGGATTAATTTGGTTAGTTACAGTGTTATGCTAGAGCCTACCTAATAGCTAATGCTAGTGTGTTTAATATAGCTTTGTACATCCAATCAGTGTTGCCAAATCCGCGACTGCCGTCGGTTATTTTTAAGTCAGCAGGTTGAAGCGACCCCAATAACGTGATATTTAGACCCTGGAATGTGAATTGTACAAGGAGAACCCCACCAATAAAATGTGTATTTTACCCCCGAGCGCGATTTTTACTGAGGGACCCCCTCGAAAGCAATTGGGCTATTTTCAGGCTAGTTTTGAGTAGTAATTGGGCGGGTTTTGTAGCGAAAACCTGGCAACCCTGCCTCCAATGCCTGATAAAAGAATAGAGAAAACAGACATTATAGAGAAAGGAGAACCCCGCCAATAAAATGTGTATTTTACCCCCGAACGCGATTTTTACTGAGGGACCCCCTCGAAAGCAACTGGGCTATTTTCAGGCTAGTTTTGAGTAGTAATTGGGCGGGTTTTGTAGCGAAAACCTGGCAACCCTGCCTCCAATGCCTGATAAAAGAATAGAGAAAACAGACATTATAGAGAAAGAGAATTATTCAAAGGGAAATCTATACTTTTTTCATGAAAGACCGATCTCACACAAAGTCAGTCAGTATGATGTAATCACTGTCCGTTAGATTTCAAAAGGCGAGCGCCATGTCAAACAGATATTTTGCCAGCTAAAATTGACAAAAAGCAAGAGCATATAACAGTTAAGCTTACATTATCGACTACCAAGACATCTAAAAACCTTTACACTGCAATAAACTGACACAGATGCAAAACATCAACTTTTATCTTTACAAACTCCACCTTTTGCTTGTTTTCTTCGTTTGTTGGGCTGCCTCCGTGTTCATCCATCGGGTGGTTTCACATGAGATTTGACAGTTAAATCTTTTCACTGGTCCCTGGCTATGCTGTTTGTTAGTTGCAGAATTATGATTGTGTCCTGTTACTGAAGAAAGTTTATTAGTGTCAAAATTAAATTAATTTATTCTAAATCTCCCATAAGAACGCGATCGAGCCAATGAGAGTGATTATGGGCGGAGCGACACCGTAGCCCCGCCCACTTCACAGGTTGCAGCCAGAGCCGTTGTATTTTCTTTCAAAATGCCACAGTAACCGCGGACTGCAGTTACTGTAATAAATCTTTTTGTGTTAGACACAACTCTAACAAAAATAAATTAAATAAAAAAATAATTTGAAAAACGATTTTGGAGAAAACATTACCATTATTAGTGATCAAATCAAAATAAGCCCTACATCAAACCCCATGAGATAGTTATATTATTAAAATTAATAATAATAATAATTATATAAAAATTTGAGCAGAGTATCCTCTATCCCGTGTACAACATATATACACGTATAAATAACACACACACATATATATATATATATATACATATTTGTGCTGTTAAAACGATTAATCGCAGCCAAAATACGTTTTTGTTTACATGTGTGTATATTTATGTATATATATATATATATAAATACAAGCACATGCATGTATATATTTAATTAAAAATATGCTGTTTACATATTAAATATATTTATATGTAAAATATAAGAATATAAATATATGTAAATATTTTCAAAATATATACTGTATGTGTGTGTATTTATATATACATAATACATATACACAGTACACACACACACATATAAATAAAATATATTAAATAAAAACTTATTTTGGATGCGATTAATCGTGATTAATCGCTTGACAGAAGTAATATGTATATATATATTTTTTTTTATGCTGCTATTTTATGTTACAGTAATATGAATTTCTCCAGCCTGAGAGTAGCGAATACAAATATAATCTGCTTAAAAAAGTGAGTTTTATTAACTGAGGGCCAAACAATTAAGAGCATAATAAGTTTTCAATTTTGCACTAAAATGTAGAATGCATACAACTACCTTAACAGACTTATATTAATGATATAAATTTGAATGTTTATCTATTGACCATCATGACAGAAACACACAATAAGCTTTTTCAACAGGTTGAAACCCTTTCCAGCTTCTCTTCCTCTTTTATACCAAGTCAACAATACGTTAAAATCCACACATACAATAATTGTGGCATGTATCACTTCCACAGATGCTGATTTTTGGATTGTGAATATGTTTTACCACAAAAATGGTCTGGATTCAAGACAGCGATTCCAACATTCAAAGAACAATGCGTTAAGACAAGCTGGCATGTAAGTCGACACGTCCAACACCAGACAAAGCTCATCGCACACAAAATGATTCTGATCATACAAATAACACCCACATATTTTGACAGCCATTTATTATTTGCCATTAAAACAAGAGAATGGCTCGTTATATATGTCGCATAGGTTTTTTTTTTTTTTTTGAAAAGTAAATATAAAACAAAACATTTTTAGTTTCAGGACAGCATTAAGAGCAAGTGGCTAATACAGAGATTAAGCTGAAGAATCGTTGGGAAAACTGTGTGTGTGTGTGTGGCTAACCATCAGACTCGGCAGATCCCCTCCAAAGCATTTCACAGAACATTCCCAGCATCTTTCCAGGACAGTGTCTCTTTTGAGTTTTATATTGTCGCCGCTTCCTCAACACAGTAGCAATACTTGTTGTCATAGTTGGGGGTGTGACGGTGGGTTACATCGTGAAATGCCTTGTGTAATCATATTCTATTGTAGGAATGACAGCTTGCACAAATTTCAAAAAAATCAGAAGATACCTGGAGTTATTAAAGTTAAGGGAAATTGTGTTTAAAAAAAAAAGAAAAGAAAAAAAAAGTTACTCATGAGCCAACATAAACATTAGTTCATTACGACATAAACATCAAGAATAAGTCTACAAGATGCGTGTAGTTTAGGCACACTACTAGACATGCTTTTTTTTGACTAAAAGTGTATACTAACATTCAAAAGTTTGGGGTCAGTAAAATTTCATTAATACTTTTATTCAGCAAGAACACATTAAAGTGACCAAAGGTGATGGTAAAGAGTTAATGTTACAAAAGGTTTCTATTTCATATAAATGCTGTTCTTTTGAACTGTTCCACAGCAGAACTGTTTTCAACATCGAGCAGAAAATCAGCATATTAGAATGATTTCTGAAGGATCATGTGACAATGAAGACTGGAATAATGATGCTGAAAATTCAGCTTCGCATTACAGGAATTTAAATTACATTTTAAAATATTTTCAAATAGAAAACAGTTCTTTTAAATTGTACAAATATTTCACAATATTACTGTTAGTACTGTAATTTTGATCAAATAAACGGGGGTTGGGTGAGCATTAGTGATTTCCTAGACTTGAACAATAGTGCATGTGCTTATATGCATAGTGCATATAATATTGTATTACAATCTATTTTTTTATAGAAAGGATACATATGGACCCCAAGTTCTCCTCCTCCTTCCGCCACCGTCTCGATAATCTTTTTCATCACCTCTGCATGTCTGACGAATAACATCAAGAGAGCAGCTTTTTAGTTCTCTGACTGTAAATAAGAGGGAGATGCATGTAAAGTTTGTATTTACCTGCACGGATGCACAGAGCACATAGCAGGTGGGGGCAGGTGGGGATGATTCTCAATGGTGACCGTCTTTTTAACATGATCTTGGCTGATGTCTTCATACATCTGATCCACCGTTAGAGGCTGTCTGTCCTGAAAAATAAGCACATCATGCAGAGCTTTCACAAAATGTGTTTTACTTGTGAACAGACTAATGCAGGCTTACATCATATCACGTTACCATCACGTAAAATCATAATAAAGCAAAGTCACCTCATCATATCCAAACAGCCATAGTCTTGGTGTCTGGTAATATTTATCATATGTGATGTAAAGATCATAAGTTCTTGTCTGTAGAATGGCATCTTCCCCTCCAGCCTCTGGCTTGGTTTTACTTAAATCAGCCATTTTACTTGTGTCGAGAGTTGCCTAAACAAAGAATATGAATGAATAATTCTGCAAAAGCAAATCTTGATGGTGAAAACCCATGTTGCGGATAATTTCTTACTTCATCCGTCTCCAAAAGTCCACTTTCTTCATATTCTGAAATATAAATATAAAGTATATAATTACCAGTTATGGCTGTTATTACTGACTGATAATGTGTCATGAAAATTAAAACAAACATTCAGAGCTACCTTCCATGTCTGCTGCCTCTCCTTCTT